AGACGGCTTATGGTAGAGAAATGAACATTCAATTCACGGGGCAACAGCTCTGGTGGACATTCCTGCAGTCAGCATGCCAATTGCACGCTCCCTCAAAACTTGTGACATCTGTGGCATTGTGCTGTGTGATAAAACTGCATATTTTAGAGTGGCCTTTTATTGTGGCCAGCCAAAGGCACACCTGTGCAATAATCATGCTGTCTAATCAGCATCTTGATATGCCACACCTGTGAGGTGGATGGATTATCTCGGCAAAGGAGAAGTGCTCACTAACACAGATTTAGACAGATTTGTGAACAATATTTGAGAGAAATAGGCCTTTTGTGTACATAGAAAAAGTCTTAGATCTTTGAGTTCAGCTCATGAAAAATGGGGGCAAAAACAAAAGTGTTGCGTTTATAATTTTGTTGAGTGTAGATTGTAAGAGCAGACTGTGATTGCTATAAAAGGATGAAAATCATGTTCTTGTTAGCAATGGTTTCCTCCAAAGAAACATGTGCAGCCATCATTGCTTTGCATAAAAATGGCCTCACATGCAAGGAAATTGCTACAAAGAATATTGCACCTGAACGAACCATTTACCGGATCATCAAGAACTTCAAGAAGAGAGGTTTGACTGCAGTGAAGAAGTCTTCAGGACGTCCCATAGCGTCCAGCAAGCGCCAGGAGTCAGACCGTCTCCTCCTGAGGAGTCAGCTACAGAATCGTGTCACCAGCAGTACAGAGCTTGCTCAGGAATGGCAGCAGGTTGCTGTGAGAGCATCTGCACGCACAGTGAGGCCAAGACTTTTGGATAACGGCCTGGTGTCACTGTCTCCTCCTGAGGAGTCAGCTACGGAATCGTGTCAGCAGCAGTCCAGAGCTTGCTCAGGAATGGCAGCAGGCTGGTGTGAAAGTATCTGCACGCACAGTGAGGCAAAGACTTTTGGACAATGGCCTGGTGTCAAGAAGGGCAGCAAAGAAGCTATTTCTCTCCAAGAAAAACGTCATGGACAGACTGAAATTCTGCAGGAAGTACAAGGATTGGACAGCAGAAGACTGGTGCAGTTATTTTCTTTGATGACGCTCCCTTCCGTCTGTTTGGGACATCTAGAAAATCGAGTGTTCAGAGAAGAAAAGGTGAACGCTACCATGAGTCCTGTGTAGAGCCAACAGTGAAGCATCCTGAGACCATTCATGTGTGGGGTTGCTTTTCAACCAAGGGAGTGGGCGCTATCATAATTCTACCCAAAAACACTGCCATGAATAAAGATTGGTATCAAAACATCCTGCAAGAGCGACTTCTTCCAACGATCCATGAGAAATTTGGTGATGATCCGTGCATTTTCCAGCATGATGGAGCACCATGTCACAAAGCAAGAGTGATAAAGAAGTGGCTTGAAGATCATTACACTGAAATTTTGGATCCGTGGCCAGGCAACTCCCCGGATCTCAATCCTATAGAGAACCTGTGGTCAGTCCTCAAAAGGCGAGTGGACAAGCAGAAGCCCACAAATTGTGATCAACTCCGAGAACTAATAAGGCAAGAATGGATCGCCATCAGTCAGGATATGGCCCAGAAGCTAATATCCAGCATGCCAGAGCGAATTCCAGAGGTTATGAAGAGCAAGGGGCAACACTGTAAATATTGACTCATATTTTTTTGCCATTAAAAGCCTTTAAAACTTATGCCAATAAAAGCCTTTAAAACTTATGCAAGCAGAAGCCCACAAATTGTGATCAACTCCGAGAACTAATAAGGCAAGAATGGATCGCCATCAGTCAGGATTTGGCCCAGAAGCTAATATCCAGCATGCCAGAGCGAATTCCAGAGGTTATGAAGAACAAGGGGCAACACTGTAAATATTGACTCATATTTTTTTGCCATTAAAAGCCTTTAAAACTTATGCCAATAAAAGCCTTTAAAACTTATGGTATGCTTATTATTGTTTCTATGGTATTCCTTATACCATAGAAACATGTGGAAAACTAATCTACAAATATTGAAGCAAGCTTTGCAAAACAAAATTTATGTTACTGCCAAAAACTTTTGGCCATGACCGTATAATAGACATATATTGGGGTGTGTTCTTTATTACAATGTAATTAATTTCAAGCAAACTCTATGTAGATAGCCTCAGTCTTCATGTGTTTATGCAGTTAATTAGCAGCAAATATGGCACTGACCTGTTCAAGGCCTTCTGATGGGGGGGGGGCAGGCTCTGACAGTCTTTTGCAAATTATGTCTTCAGGGTTCCCATGTAACCAGAGTAACCCAGGGCCCCTGTCTGCTAAGAACTGTTTTGGCCTAGTGATTTGTGATTCATAAAAACAGCAAACTGGAGGGGGAAATCTGAGGATTTTATGCCTCTTTGTGTTCCTTCCTCAGGGCAATGCAATTCTCCAAGGAATATTTTATTGACTACACACACAGGTGCATTGTAAAGTACGTACTAATTGTGCACTTCTCTCTCATACTCAGGAATATCATTGCTCATTAAGTATCCTTTCTTCACACTAATTGGTCTCATTACATTTGACAGTGTTGAATTAATAAACGATTAAATAATAAGATCTACTTAAAATTCTTCCATTGCTATCAAGGTTTTTTTTTGGCATTTAGAGTAAGTTGTAACTGTAACAATGTAATTTGATCGGGGGCTGGAAACCCGGCGTTTATTCAGCTTTATGGATGTTATGCATCGTGCGTGCAAGAGCTGTTCGACATTTTATGAAGAGTATGTCATTAGCATGCCTGTAAAAAGCTATTAATATGCACATAATCGCAGTGGATAGCAATAGTGTTTCCCCAAGGATCTCAGAGGTTTGCATTGCATTATAACATTTATTTGCCTGGCAGATGTCCTTACCTTCGGCAATATGCAGTAATTATTCAAGTCTCCAAGTGTGACACACCTTATGGCTGCTTTCAAAGCCATATGATTTCTGTACGAGGCAGATCATCTATGTTATATCAGAATCTGATTGATTTCAAAACTCTCAGACTCAACAACGATGTTTTATCAGGGAACTGAAATGAATAGTTGATATAAACATTTGAATTAGAGTTCTAGACATATTAATAAATATATAGATTAAACTA